TATGCATAAAATGACTTGCGAGTCGTGTCTGCCTGCCTGTCTGTCTAGTCGGTCTGTGCACCTGCCTGTGTCTTCAAGTACAAGATGCGTGACAAGGGGATGTCTGCGATTGATCAGGTGACCCATTCATTTTGCGACAGGGATGTGACTGTAGTCATCTATATGGTATAGCGTCAATACTGTAGTATCTGAACCAGCGCCGGCTTGAGCATTCAGAGAACAGACAAGTCAGAACCCAGTGCCCCTCGAACCCTAATTCCATAGACCGCGCAAACAGTGTAAGACCGCCCCCCACACCCAGATGAGCGACCCCCGCAACAAAAGGGGACGTAGCCTAAATTGGGCCTAAATCCATCCAAGAGCCTGCGTGGCAGTTGAAAGTAGGCTCCTCTAAACTGCACCATGGTTTTTAGAAACATCTGTGCCAGCACAAGCGGATTTGTCGTAGAGAGGGTCACTGCACGGCTTTACCAACCGAACCCCCTTCACCGTGAGCGAAAGGAACCATTGGCCCATAGTGTGAGCACACTGCTTGGGGAAAGCCTTTCAGAAAACGAGCAGTCCTAGGAAAGCGGCCGGAGGCTCTGCGCAGGACTGCTCCTTCATAGAAGTGTGGAGGGCGTGGTAGGGCCTGGGGTAGTTGTCGTCTTGAAGCCTTTGCAATTTCGTTGATTTGTGTGGTCGAGTTGTCCATGTGTGAGATTAGCTATAGGATGTCGGCAGGGTATGCAGAGAAAGCTTCTTAGCAAGAGTCGCGTGCATTAAGCTTTGAGAGCGAAGAAGTCCGCAATGATCCTCCCTTAGTCAGAAGTTCCTTCTTCGTTTGTCTTACAAACCTGCTGAGACTCACATTGCCGGTGTGTCTATTATTTTTACCTAGACGGAATATGAAAGCGCTGTGAGCTCCAAAGAGTCTGGAGGAGCATAATTGCAACAGCGCTCCTTAAGGCACAAGTTGTCTAGGCTTGTTTCCGGTAGAGTTGCTAAAGCATCAACGAATCTTGCTTGAGCGTCAAAAGCAGGAGCAAACTCCGCATGCGGGAACCTCAGCCCGAACGCAGGAGGCCACATCTGAAACCACCCAAAAGCCTAAACCCTTGTAATTCCTAAGTCTGCACCGCTGGCACCTGCAATGTATGGAAAAGCCAACGTATCGTCTGCATGTGAAACTCGATCCTTTACAACCGAAACTATTGTAAGTCACGCTGGCAACGCCTTGGGCGTCACAAACGACCACACTATCCCGGAATAAGCCATCTCCATCTTGAGCCCATGACTCGCAGCACAACGATCCTTACCGGGTGTGCTTGGAGGCTTAAATCACGAATCCTCATCCCAGACAGTTCCCCCCGCACATCTGCACATCTGCTTACCAGACTGCTTCGGCTGTGGCCACGCCGCCAGCTGCTCAGGCGTCGCGCGCCCGGGGCTCAGGTGGCTTAGGGCGGCTTCGTGGCTCGGCTGGCTTCGCAACTGTGTCGGCAACTCTGCGAGTTTGTTCAATTGCTGAAGCACAGGCAGCAAGAGCTCAGAGCAGATGTGTGTGTGTGTGTGTTCGCATTGAAATCCCAATTGCAGCCTGGATCTCCATCTCAGGATGCAAACACCTGACGCCCAGCCCCATTCCGTCTTCCGCCGCCAAAAACAGGCGGAAGATCCTCCCCACGAGAAGTCGCCCTCGAACCGAAGCACCACCTCGGAGAAGCACAAGGCTCTTGGGGGCCTTCGGGGGGTACTTATTGGGGTCCCCTATTTTCGTAAGCCCCCAGATGGTATAGACTCCCTGGGCTTGGTTGCTCCGCTGGGATCGGGTCGAGCTTGGGGGTGTTTTGATGTCTTGCTGGAGAGGTCGCTGCGGCCGCCAATGCCGCGACAAAGAAGGCCCCTCCCTTTTTTTTCCCCGCTCCCTCTCCCTTGACTCCCTTCTCTCTCTGACAGGCGCTGAGGTGCTGCAGAGTACTTGTGACTAGATTGATTCTATCTAGAAGCCTCTCGCGCCCAGAAGAAAGTGGAGTTCTTTGCGCCGCGTGTCTTTACATGAGTGACTACCTTGGGCATAACAATTTTTTGCTTGGCCGGGGGCCCCGGCTCTCCCAGCTCCCATTTCTCAATCCCTGAGGGCATGATATCTTCACCCACATTCCGACGTGTGTCGAGGTCTCGCGATTCAGCCTCTGGGGCAGCGGCAGCAGCAAAAGCAAGAAGTGACCCGCGGTGAGCCTACCCAAACCCCAACCCTACGGTCCTCAACAGTTGTAACGAACGAGTAAACCTCGTTCATGTGCTCATTGTGAGTCCCTTCGACTGCAGCTCGGGATGAGTGATTGGTGACGCCTGTAATCAAACGCGCAAGCAGTCAACCGCCCTCTGCTTACGCCACGTCCCGAGATGTTCAGGAAAGCATTCCATCGTTTGCTGAGCGCATCCTTTTCGAACTGTCTGTTCTGTTCGGGTTCGTTCTCAAATGTCTCAAACCCGCGTACTCCCCCGCAGCTTCTGCCAAACGCACAAACTGGAGAGTCAACCACCAGTGCCCTTTGTGGAAGTTCCGGAGCTCCCCCACTCCACATATCCAAAGCCACGAAGCCCTGAACTTCGAGGCATCCGGAATCCTACAGTTCAACCCTCTTCTTTTTAGGGTTTTTGACGTTCAAGCATCCTCCGCACGAGCCTAGCCTCGAAAAGCCTTCCGAAGCCTGGAAGCAGAGCCCCGACTTAGGGGGGCTCCGGTGTTAACGAAGATGGAGACTCACCATGATGCACTTGAACCTGGTCTCAACGAGAAATTGGGTTCCCATGTTCCTTTCCCGTGTTGTATCCTTCCCTTCTCGGTCTGCGGCTTCATTTACACGCGCATTTTGTCACAGTCGCGTGGGAACCTGCAAAGTGGCAGGTCTGGCAACCAGACCCTGCTGGAGCGCAAATGTAGGTAGGAGTGCCCACTGAGCCGTGGCTTCTTGTGACGATGCTTGTGTTCAGGGAGGCTTTAGCATGTTAACGTGGCTGACGTGGAGCGACAGCCTACTAAGTATACTATAGTACATTACATCCCATGACATGTGAAAAATGTTATATTACGTATCATCTCTGTTACACTATGTTATCTCATATAGCAGCATCGTATATCACATATGGTGCTTGTGTAGGGGTGATGTCCTGAAGCCACAGCTCTGCCAAGTCGGCCATGAGCATTGGCCGTGAAGGCTGTAGCCTGGGGGAGGCTTTCCACCCTCAAAATCGTCAGCTTAGGGTTTAGGGTTTCTTGACAAGCGCTCTGGGCCCTTCAGGGCCTTTAGGTTTTAGGGTGTCCAAAACTCCCGAGACTGCAACTCTGAACCCTGTCACCTTCGGTGGCTTAAACCCAAAGCCTTGGGGTGTATTCCCTAAGAAATCCAAAGTGGATTACTTCCCAAATAGTCTTTGTTGCAGGCCCCCCCCCCCCCCCCCCCCAAAAAAAAAAAAAAAAACCGCTAAAAACCGACAAAGGTCACACATGTGGGTTGGTCACAGGTGCGGATCATTTGGAACCCTAAGCCCCTAAAACCCCCATCCCCTAAGCCCCCAAAGCCCCCAAACTCCTAAGCCACTAAAGCCCCGAAAGCCCCAACCCCTAACCCCCAAGCCCTTAAAGCCTCAACTCTGCACACCTCAAGTTATCCTCCCCTAGTTACTATAGACACTTCGGCCGATGCTCTGCCCACTTTGGGGCACTTGCGGGTTCTGCGCGAGTGCACTGCTTGGTGGCACTGGGGAGCCCTCAGGATTTTAGGGTTCGGGTTTAGGGCTGCATGGGTTACATGGGTTGCATTGGGTTGCATTGGGTTACATGGGTTACATGGGTTACATGGATTACATGCATCACGTTTAGGGAAGCTTCAACGGTTTAGGGTTTTGAGTTTGGGGCTTGTGGCTTTGGAAGAACAGCTGACCTCTTCAAATCCTGTGTGTTTCCCCTGTATGAGCTACCCAAAATACCCCCATTCCAGCAAACAGGCTTCGATTTTGCACAGTCTATGGCGGGGGAGGGGCGTTCTCTGTCCGGTGGGGTCCTTTGCGTGGCCCGTTCAAGGAGGGGCTCCATGAATCAAGCCGGCCATAAGGGGACCTTTTGCAGGGTGCAGATGTTCAGGGCTGGGCGTCACAGCAGGTTTCAGGTCAAGGGCAGAAAGGTGTGTAGACTGTGAGCCTAAGCCCTGAGTTTTTTCAATTCCTCGAGTGAGGATCAGCCTCGATCCTAGACTAGTCTTGGGGCATCGATGGGAACTGTGTTACCAGCTTGTCTGCACTTGGCAGAGCCATGTCTCACCTGCGCGTCGGCATGGTCGGTGAGCAAAGCGCGGTTTTGGCTCTCGGGTGTTGGGGCCGAACCAGGCGAGGTGCGACTTGCGGGACGTGTAGTACCTGGGTGTAGAGAGGACTCTCGAGGATGAAGTTGTGCAGAGCTGAGTTTAGGGTTAAGGGCATAGGGTTTGCAGGGTTGAGCCCTAAAGGTCTAGGCAGCCTCAAGCACCACCCCCCACCCCGTGGCCACGCAACAACCTTTTCAAGGGCAGTCCTGACCAACAGAGCTCAAAGGAGCATCCCTCATTCGTTTTTTTGTCCATTCTTGACCCATCAGCCATATTTTGGCTTGCAGAGCTGTCAGGATCATCTCTGAAATGCGCATGAACACTTGGCAGTTGCTGGGCAGCAGGCTTCAGTTTGGAGCAACAAGCAACATACACCGTGATAGGGGCATCCCAGTAGTTACCACCTTAAACAGCTGAGAGGAACGGTAGCATGTCGAGTTTGCAACATCTCGTGGAGTAGAGTCTATCTGAATCCTCAACTTTAGCTTGATCGCAACCCCCCCCCCCTTAAACAATCACTTGATGCAAGTTAAGTTGCATGGCTTGCTAGGGTAACTGTGCACCGAGCCGCCAACCAACGCGCACCGGTACAATGCAACACCAACGCACACTTGCTGGGCTTGAATCGGCGGTCACTGTAGCTGTGAGCCGATGTCGATGCTATGCACAGGAGTCCCATGCAAGTTGCTCATGGTTACGCTTGACAAAGGCATAGTCATGTTTGGAAGCTCACTGATGATACACAGCAGAGTGTTTTAAGCAGGAGATCCATGCGAGATGGCTGGCCAATGCGTGCAGACTGCTTTGAAGGCAGGCAGTGGCGACATCTTTGTGGCTTGTCTTCTAGTGATATTATGCTTCCTATAAGTGCAAGACATTCAGCTTATCTGACCCCAAGCTTCGCTGCAAGATGTGGCTTAAACTCAGTGGACGGGCTTGCGAGATTCAGAGCTGTTGACGTCGGAGGCGGTTTGTTGCTGGGCAAATGGTGGGCGATTGGCAGCAAGATCGCGCCACAGCTGCAGATGGCGGTAGCACAGTCTTGCACAGACTCTAGACTTGCAATGTGCCTAAGCTCTGTTTCTAACTGACAATACAAACAGTTTTGACTGAGGAGCCTAGTGCGCGTTGGTGCCAGTCTCCCAAAGAAGGAGGAGAGGTGGTCGTGCAAACGTTGCGAGTTTCGATGTAGTGGATGCCTCGCTGCAGAGGAAGCGGATGTCGAGTTCGGGCCGTTCTTGAAGGCTTTCTATTTGCCATGTATTTGCCATGCCTGCTCATGGGTGGCTCTTTTTTGCACTCGGGCAGGCTACGCCAGTCAAGTCGGAGACTCTTCGCGGGTCTTCTTCTGTCTTCTGTGCCTCTGCATTGCCATCAATGTGCCCTAGAAAACGCTGAGGTTGGGGAACGAGGAGGAGGAGGAGGCTGCGTCGGTCAAGGCCAGCTTCGGGACTCTTTTCGCTGAGCTTTCCGAGTGTTTTGCCGACGCCTCCCAGGCGGCAAGCCATGCTCCGGAGCGACGTCCGAGGACAAAAATGTTGCTTTGACATGCTGTGCCTTGCTGTCGGGCTACTGGATGCAATGTTCACAGCGGGATTTCTGCAGACTGTCCCTGGCATCCACGGCAACTCCCGAAGCGGACTCAGAGGAGCGGGACGGGAGCTAATGCATTTCTCGCCTGAGTTGTGCTCTGTTTTGGTGTGCCGTTGTGTACCATCACGAGACTCGTTGGTTCAGGCTGTTGACAATGCTATGGACTCAGATGACGAAGCCGACGCCTTGGTTGCATCTGTGTGGAAATAGCACGTGTCCGGAAGCTGCTCGGAGAGGAATACCCTAGTGCCCTCATTCTTTCATACCCTCATACGCTGATAAGCTGATACCCTGATACCTCTAAACCCGAAAGGGGGGGGGAGGGAGGCATGTGCGCCATTGCCGGGCAGGCTTTGCATGCCTCTCCTGGCGACGAGGCCTCCCTCGGCTTTGCCGCCGAGCAGGCACGGCGATGTCTCCGAAACGCATTGTTTTTTGGCCCAAGATATAGTCTTCATAATTCGGTATTCTGATCAGATCAGAACATAGCGGAACGTCCGCGCAGGATCCATATGGATACTGGTATGCTCCGGCCAGCGTCCAAGCTGGCTCTGGCCTGCCCTCCAGTATTCAAGAACTCCATGCGCCAAGGTCCCGCTGGAGCCAGGTTCCCTTCCGCAGGACACCCTCAAACCTAAACCCGAAACCCTAAACCGCCCTAAACCCTAAATCCACTTGCTGGGGGAGAGGAAGCCCCAGTTTGGAAGGCAGCTTTAGTTCGCATCCCGACGACAAACGGTGATTTATGCTTTCGCCGCTGTTGGGGGCCACACTGTGCCTTCTGCCTGCAGATGCTTTGTTTCGGCTTCTGATCCTTGGATGCGTCCTTGGGTTTTTTAACTCTCCGATTGGTCACCAACAGAACCCGCGTGCAGCCGTGCAGGAGGTAGAGCTTTGGCAAGGCGATGGTGCTCAGGCGAGACACCGAGCCCTGAGAAGACCAGGTAGTGTGTGTGTGTGCGCGGACGCGCGACCCGCGCCGAGGTCTCAATGGATTGCTTCCACGCAGAGGGCGAGGCCAGCTGCCGCAGCGAGATGAGGAATGTCTGATGAACCCTGAGCCTGGAATGTCCAGCGTAGAGGCGAAGCTTACTCTTGGCTCATGTGAGAGAACGGAAACCATCAGCTTCAGCAGGCCCACGAGACGGCGGCCAAAGGGCTCTCGCTCATGCCCTTCTCTGGGCCTCGGTCCCAGTACAGGGGTGCGTAACCTGTCTGTCTTACTGCTGTCATGATTCAGAAGGAGGGGGAAAGAATGGACGATGCTCGTATCGTTCATATGGTGTTGCTTGCAGTAGCATCCCCTAGTCCTTCCCTGCAGCATGATGCCAGGTTCATCCAGAGGCTGGCGCCGTACCTCACGGCCGGGCTTGCACGCTAAGCTGCTGAGCTCAGATTCTGGGCCTTCCGAGGTTCCGGACTACACGGGCCTCCGGTCTACGTGCAGCAGCGTCCAGGGAACCCTGCACACCAAGGTGCCGCTGTTGCGTGTTGAGTTGTTCTGCATGCCCAAACTCTTCGATGCTGATAGCACTGTGGCGACTGGCTTGTACGACACGCGCCACGGCAACATGAATAAAGCGGCGGAACTGCACACTGAGTACATGTTCCCACAACATCAAGAGTTTAAACCTGTCTTCTCGACAATGCGTTCCTGTCTGGGACAAAATGTCACAGGATGCGCTTGCGACACTTTCAAGCAAGGTTGTTGACGGTCTCTCACAGCGTGTCGGATAGCCAAAAGCAGCGTATCAAAAGGGTTTGCGTACGTGCAGTGAGGGGCCTTGCTGAGCCCCTATTCAGGGCCTGTAACCCGCGGAGGGTGGTCCGAAGTCTCTTGAAACTCTATCTTGATGCATTTGAAAACTCTGAGGCCCCGGTGCAAGTAAGAGCATGTGAGACCCATGGGCCTGAACCTTGCCTTAGGCGCTGCTCTCGCACCTGGTGTACCTGATGCAGCCTGAGAGGCAGGGAGAAGAATGCCCATCTCAAAGGGACCCCATTTCTGTTCGCCCCTCCCCCTTCGCCTCTCGGTAAGAACGCCATCTAGCAGATGAAGTTCAGGAATGCGCGAGAGAGCGGATCGGGCCAATGTGATTTTTTCTCGCTTCGGTGAATGGGGGCATTGGGGTATATTGGGGCAATTGGGGTGTGAGGCCAGACGTTTTTGCTGCCACTGGCCAGTGGTGCAACTCGAACTGCAGCGAACAGTTCTGGGAGAGCCTCGAGGAAGGCCCACGGCTACGGGCAGGCAAAGCAGGCCCGGGGGGGTGAGCTGGGTGAGCTATACATAAGCAAGCTATAGGCAGCCTGCAGAGCAGTTCCAGGGGAAGGAAGTCCCGCGCGTTAGAGAGCAGAGGCGTGTTCTGTGCAGGCCTTTGGATCTTCTTCAGGGCCATGACCCGGTGGCGGAAGCGGGACCCTGCAGCAATGGTGCCGGTGGCCAAGAGCATGAGAGCACACTGCCACCACGAGCAGCCCGACATCGCAAGGAGTTCCCAGCGGATTTTGGCTGTTTGCGCTGGATGCCTTTTCTCGATCCGCGGCCGGGGTGCCGGGGTGAAGGGAGTGCGACACCTCTTTGCCAGAGACGTTCTACACTGGCTACAACACGGGGACGCCAACATCCGCATGGAAATTTGCTGTGAACTCGCCAGGTGCGGCCCCGACTTACTCGGAAGGTTCAACAAAGCTTGTGCTGCCGGTCTCCTGGACGCTTGCAGACCCCCGAACGATGCCGCTCTCCGCCGCAGTGCAAGGAAAGCCCTCAGAGTCTTCGTGGAAAACGACGCAGCACTGCACCCCTTCGTGCGGCCGCAGCTCCACCAGCTCACTTGGGACCCATGGTTGATCCAAGATCGAGACGAGAGGCTTGAACTCTGCCAAATCGAAACCTACATCGACTTCTGCAACCTTGGGAAATTCCTGTGGCAGGCTCTGGAGATGGGCCGAATGTGCCTGGTGACAAGCCAAAGCCACATCCTCACGGCATGACCCAGCTCCACGTCCGTGCCTGCTCCACTGAAGCTTGCGTCGCGTGTGACCAGGTATTGTACATTACAGGGGGCAAGTGCCAGCGAGGGCCGCGTCACTACTGACCCTGGGACCGCGCTCAGGCCCAGAACGCGAACTGAACCCTCCCAACTCCAGAGCTTCCGAGTGGCAGTCGGCAACACTGTCAATCGCATCACCAGAAACACTGAGGAGATGTGTAGAGCTTCGGGCTTCAATGCAAAACGCGCTTGCGGATAGCTAGGTTCAAGGCAGTATTCTGCAAGGTGGCAGTCGTTTGATGTGACCATGGTTTGATCGTTTGACCCCATCATCGAGCAAAGTATGGTGACATATATGGCAGGCGTACTTCAGCCCCGAAACTGATGCGACTTAACTGGCCCGCTGTATCTGTAAGCTGTATATGAACACCACTTTCAAGGCACAGGTGTTGAGTGCTCGCAGTTCTATTTAATCTTGAAGTCTGGAGGCTGACAAACCTTGTAAGCTCGGTGAACCCAACTCCTGCACCTCTCCAAGCCCTCCTGAACTGAGTAAACCCCCTAAATGTGCCCCTGCGTGAGCCGAGACAGAGCTTGTGGTTCCGCTTCTACTCGCTCGTGCCTTCGCTATGCAGGCGTTTGGCTCATCTCCCAAAGTTTCCCCACGGCGCCATGATGTTTCCGGAGCCGGAAGAGGAGAGCTTGCCCTTTCTCGTCGTTGCAAAACCATGCTCACGTGATCCGCTGGCAACTCTAGGAGCCATGTGCTACTGTGCCAATGAGTCCAATGAGCATATGTGGGATACCAAGCCGCCAAGGAAATGAATGAGGCCCACAAAGTTTTCCGAGATCTATTCCCAAGGTCAGCGATGTCAGATCTTTGTTGCCCAGGCTCCGGTGCCATCGCGCAGACTGCCCTATCCACTTTGCGCATTTTCGATGAGCAGGTCGGCAGCCCCTATGTAAGGTACACCGCCTGGGAACTCCCCTCCTGAAACCCCAGAACACCTGTAGGCTGTTCTTTGTCAAACTGAGTTTAGCACGTTTCAGGCCCAACCTCAAGCCCTAAACTCGTTGGGGTTGACTAGGCGTTTGGCAGCGGTTCATTGCCGGCGCCATGAAACGTGCCAGAAGCGTTAAGCCCTTGGCCCTCGGGTTTGGGGCTTGGGGTTTAGGGTTGCTAAGTCTGCTTCGTAATCCGCTGCTCCTAAAGAATGCCAGGCATGTCGAATGCTGTCCCTTCAAGCTGGCTTGTGGCCAGGTCTTCTACGAATAAAGGACCCACCAGCGCACAGTGGTCTGCGTACGCCCGTCAGGGCGACACATGCATTCACGCACACGCATGGAACAAATGGCAGCAGGCGTCATTTGCGCCCGCGGAAATCAGCTCCGAGGGCAAGCCCTCACCCGACTTGGCGTCATAATGTTGCCGGCCCTAGGGTGGAGGTGTCTGCCAGGGGGTGGGGGTTCCAGGGGCAGTTTTATGATGGACCCTTCGTAATATGATGTGTTCGAAGCCCTGAACCCCGAAAAGGTATGTATATGTATATGTATATGTATATGTATCCGGTGGCAAGATTTTCAGGGATGTGACAGGGGCTTTCACGCACCCTCATGCAGATAAGTTTCTGCAGCCGATGGTCCCATCTACACAAGAAGGATGCCAGCGGCGAAGACGATGGCAAGATTTGTCCACAAAAAGTGAAAGCCAACACAAAATCACCCAACGCAACACACATGTTTTTTTGTTTGTTGTTTGTTGTTTGTTTGTTTTTTGTTTGTTTTTGTTTTTTGTCTTTTGGTGTAACTTGTACTTCTTCCACATCCAAAACGGTGTTGATTAATGGTACTTCTCCCCTTCCTCATATCCAAAGCAGATTCGTAGTATCTTCCATGCCCACATGCCACTATCAAAGACGCTTGAATATCATAAAATGACGAAGTCGCATGTGAAAGGCAGACAACCTGCCAAGAGGTATATGGAGGAAGTGCACGGTGACGGAGCAGATGAGCTGCGATGTAGGGCGAAAGGGCACCGAAGCCGAATGTCGAAGAACACACAAGGCATTGAAATAACTTGGAAAGTCATGGAAAGGCCATGGAAAGGCTGGAAAGAACGGTAACAGGCAGGCCGCGGCAGCAAATTGCATGTACTTCTTCCCCTGTCCCACATCCACCACAGCGCGGAAGCTTGCGAAACGCACCACAGCGCGGAAGGTTGCGAACCCCGTTCTGTAACGAAAAGACGCCCAGACCCCCTGCGGAGGCTCAACGCCATCATTCTGAATGCAGCAAAGTGTGAGTTAAGGTGTGCTGTGATCTCCACAGAGAGTGCTGTTGCTTCCTGTTATGGCCAGGCTGTCCCAGTGGCACTTCACCTTCTGTGAGATTCTGGCGCGCCGGTGTCCGGGCCCTTGTGCAAGGCGCCTTGAGGTTCGTCTTTAGCGGCTCGACACTGATGTCATAGTTCTTCGTGTCTGGTTGCAGTGACCGCAGTGCTTGATTGCAGGCTTGATTGCAGGGCTGACAGTGCTGTTGTGCTCGTACCGAACACCCATGGCTGCACCAACACGCGCCCTCTGTCTGCTGCTGCTGGCCTGCAAGCTGCCATGCGCCGCGTGCGCGGAAGCAGATTTCCCGGAAGCTCTGCCTGACACATGCCTTCTGCAGGGCAGCCGCCTTCTCGTGTCCAATCACGGAGACAGTGATGGGATCATTGATAAGGCCAAAGACATCGGAAAAAAAGCGGTCGACACAGTCAAGAAGGCTGCTGAGAAAATCAAGAATGCACTGAAGAAGCTGAAGCCCCCAGCTCTCGAAGAAGTGAAGGACAAACTCAAGGATATTTCCCGCGAGCAAATCCGCAAGCTCGAGAAGCAAGGGCAAGAGCTTCAAGAGCAAGTCGCCAAAGAAGCCTTGAAAGTAGCCGACGATGCCATGACACGTGCCGAATTTATGGCTGCGCGGGCCTCAGCCTTTCAAAAACTGGCTGAGAGCGCAGCGGCCGCCATCAGTGAAGAGGTCGACGGCGCCTTTGAGCTCAAGTGTGACTTCTTAGCACGAGCCTCAGAGGAGGTCCTCAAGAAGATGACGAGCCTAATTCCCCATGGGAATTGTTTTTTTTTTTTTTTTTTTTTTTTTTTTTTTTTTTTTTTTTTAAATTTTGTTTGTATAAAACCCAAGAGGATATTACTTTTACTAAGGTTCTAAGGGGGAGTATAGGAGCTGGTTCACGGACGGCGTGGTCGACAAGCAGACTTGCAAGCAGATGAAGAAGGACGCAAGGGCTATGTGTCAAGAGGTCAGGCTCTTCCCCAAGGAGGATCTGCTTGTCGATGCCAGGCCAATTTTTCGCAGAGCGTTGCTTTGTAGGGGGTTCCATAGTACACATGTGTACGCAGTGACAACCAAACGAGTCACAGCATGGCTGCTTCAGCTCTGAAATCCGTCTTGCGGCCTTTCGATTTTCCACGTATTGGATGGTCAAGGATCTGTGCGTGAATGGAACCGTGACTACCATCGAGTGGACCTGCGACTCAGTCAACGATGTATTCAGCCAGACGGCGGAAGACATCAGCAAGAACATGGGCATTGTCAGTTTGGGATGCTGACGTCATGGACAGAGCGTTTTTCTCACCTACGTATACTCTTTTTGTGCTTCAGAGTCGCATGGCAATCGCCTGCCCACTTTCATTGATTCACGCAGACTGATTGAGAGATCATGGATTCATTTCAGATGCGCATGACCTGCGGACTTGCCCCGAAAAAGGGACGCGAGTCTGTAGGACTCAGCACTGGCATCTTTTGTGTGTGTGTGTGCGTTGCTGTGGTTTTTTAGGCTTCTTTGCCGGCGTGTCATTCCCTCGTGTCGCGCTGCTGGTGCACACTCAGCGCAAGCATGCCGGCAATGACTTCAGCTCTTTCTTGCACCAAACCGTGACTGTTGAACGTTCTAGCCCGGGGCCCAGATCGCCTTCTCCTGCGTGCAGCGTGCAGAGCGCCATGGCTGTTGCGACGTGTGGGCTCATCGTGCTGCTGAGCTTCTCCACAAAGTTGGCGGTTGCCACTTGTGCCGAGCCAGATAGCCCGGAAGCCCTGCTCCACACCTGCTTTCTGCAGGAGGGCAGGGCCCTTCTGTCCAACCGTGCGGACCGTGCTGCATCCGACATCAGCCCTAAAGAGATCATCAAGGAGATGACCAAGCCCATTAGGGCAGCAGGCAAGGAGATCAAGAAAGGCACAAGGAGGCGGCTGAGACCGTGGTCGAGAAAGCGACGTTGGCGGCCGAATCTGCGCAGAACGCGGCAGAGAAATCAGCCTCCAGCGCCCAGAAAGCTGCCCAGAAGGCAGCAAAGCTTGCCAAGAATGCGGGCAAGGAGGTCCAGGAACAGATTGACAGTGCCTTTGAGCTCAAGTGTGATTTCTTGGAAAGGTCTGCGAAGGAGCTCCTGAAGAAGATGACGAGCTGGTTCACGGACGGCATGATCGACAAGAAGACTTGCACGCAGATGAAGAAGGATGCAAGGGCTATGTGCGAAGAGGTCAGGCTATCCCCCAAGGAGGATGCTCTTGTCGACGCCAGGCCAATTTGGGAAGAGCGTTTGCTGTGTAGTGTTAGAGGTTAGAGGCGTAGCGATGCCCTTGTGCCTCCTTTCGATCTTGCACGTGTTGGGTAGTCAAGTAGTCAAGGATCTGTGCGTGAATGGAACCGTGACTACCATCGAGTGGACCTGCGATTCAGTCAACGATGTGTTCAGCCAGACGGCGGAAGACATCAGCAAGAACATGGGCATTGTCAGTTTGGGATGCTGACGTCATGGACAGAGCATTTTTCTCACCTGCGTATACTCTTCGTGCTTCAGAGTCGCATGGCAATCGCCTGCCCACTTTCATTGATTCACGCAGACTAGTACTGATTGAGAGATCATGGATTCATTTCAGATGCGCATGACCTGCGGACTTACCCCGAAAAAGGGACGCGAGTCTGTAGGACTCAGCACTGGCATCTTTTGTGTGTGTGTGTGTGTGCGTTGCTGTGGTTTTTTAGGCTTCTTTGCCGGCGTGTCATTCCCTCGTGTCGCGCTGCTGGTGCACACTCAGCGCAAGCATGCCGGCAATGACTTCAGCTCTTTCTTGCACCAAACCGTGACTGTTGAACGTTCTAGCCCGGGGCCCAGATCGCCTTCTCCTGCGTGCAGCGTGCAGAGCGCCATGGCTGTTGCGACGTGTGGGCTCATCGTGCTGCTGAGCTTCTCCACAAAGTTGGCGGTTGCCACTTGTGCCGAGCCAGATAGCCCGGAAGCCCTGCTCCACACCTGCTTTCTGCAGGAGGGCAGGGCCCTTCTGTCCAACCGTGCGGACCGTGCTGCATCCGACATCAGCCCTAAAGAGATCATCAAGGAGATGACCAAGCCCATTAGGGCAGCAGGCAAGGAGATCAAGAAAGGCATCAAGGAGGCGGCTGAGACCGTGGTCGAGAAAGCGACGTTGGCGGCCGAATCTGCGCAGAACGCGGCAGAGAAATCAGCTTCCAGCGCCCAGAAAGCTGCCCAGAAGGCAGCAAAGCTTGCCAAGAATGCGGGCAAGGAGGTCCAGGAACAGATTGACAGTGCCTTTGAGCTCAAGTGTGATTTCTTGGAAAGGTCTGCGAAGGAGCTCCTGAAGAAGATGACGAGCTGGTTCACGGACGGCATGATCGACAAGCAGACTTGCAAGCAGATGAAGAAGGATGCAAGGGCTATGTGCGAAGAGGTCAGGCTATCCCCCAAGGAGGATGCTCTTGTCGACGCCAGGCCAATTTGGGAAGAGCGTTTGCTGTGTAGTGTTAGAGGTTAGAGGTGTGGCGATGCCCTTGTGCCTCCTTTCGATCTTGCACGTATTGGGTAGTCAAGTAGTCAAGGATCTGTGCGTGAATGGAACCGTGACTACCATCGAGTGGACCTGCGATTCAGTCAACGATGTGTTCAGCCAGACGGCGGAAGACATCAGCAAGAACATGGGCATTGTCAGTTTGGGATGCTGACGTCATGGACAGAGCGTTTTTCTCACCTACATATACTCTTTGTGCTTCAGAGTCGCATGGCAATCGCCTGCCCACTTTCATTGATTCACGCAGACTGATTGAGAGATCATGGATTCATTTCCGATGCGCATGACCTGCGAACTCAGCCGAGAAAAGGACACAAAGGGCGCAAGTCTGTAGGACTCAGCACCGGATTGCTTCTCTGGAACCTCGTGCGCTGCACAAGACTTCATCAACAAATTAGCAGATCTCGCTCCCACATAACCCGCTTGCGTCTGCAAAGGCCAATACCTTCCTTCTGGCTGATCCGTTTTTCCGATTCCCAGGGTGAGTTCAGCTCACCCCGCAGCTTGGCCGAGAAGGTTGAGGGTTTGCTGAGTTCTTGTCTCAAGGCTGTTTCTGTTTTTTGCAGGGGTTTAGGGGTTTTGGGGGTTTGGGAGTTTGGGGGTTTTGGGGTTTTGGGGGTTTGGGAGTTTGGGGGTTTAGGGGTTTAGGGGTTTAGGGTTGGTGTTGGACTGTTCGTGAAGGCAGCTGTCTCGCTCCAGCAGCAGTCGCAGCAGGGCTTGCAACAGTTTTGACATTCTCCATTGCCTCCACCCCATCTCAAGACGTCTTAACACTCAGTCCTAGTCCCTACATGGGGGTTTACGATCAGAAGGGACCCCTAAACCCCCCCAAATGGTAGGATCCCCTTATCATGAGGACCCCAAGAAGGTGCCCCGAATATCGTAAACCCCCGCATCTCGTTCACAACCTCACAAAAGCCTTAAATCTCCTAAGCAGACCCTAAACCCTTAACCCAGCGGCGCAACCGGCTCAGACGGCGCGAGTGGAGCAGGCGGCGTAACCGGCGTATGCGGCGCACCCGGCGCAAGCGCCACCAGCGGCGTCGGCGGCGCGTCTGGCGCGCTGGCGCGGGCAGCACTGATGGCGCGTGCTGGTTCTCTGCGGCGTATAGGCGGCGTGGGCGGCGTCCCGGTGTCGGGGTTCCATAACCATGGGCGGCGCATCGGCGTGGCGGCGCAGAGAGGTGTCAAGCCACGGTTTACCCCTACTCTCCCCTAAACAGTATATCTGGTCACAGGCACTTGCAGATGCCGGACTCAGCAGCGCAAAGCCACCGTCACCCTCGGCTCTTCGCTGGCGATCCTCTACAGTGTGGGCCTTTGGGGGGCGGCAGCTGCCTGTTTTTGTATTTTTGGGTTTAGGGTTTAGGGTTTAGGGGGTTTGGAGTGTGTTTCTTTTTCTTTTTGTTCGAGTGTATGGTGTTCAAGTTGCCAACGGACCCTGAACGGCAAATGCCGGAGAGTGCTTGCAGCGTCAGAGTCCCTTGTCTCGTGTGGTCTGAAGCCCCAAGCAGTGGTTTGGGCGGTTTGGGGTTGCAAGATGTTGCAATATGTTCTCAGGTTTGCAATGCTTTATTTACAACGATGAGGTGTTGTGCTTCTGATTCTAGCCCCTTTTTGCCCACGAGGTCTTCAACCATACCGATGGGAGCGTTGTGCGGGGCCCCAGTGTTTTGAAGAAGGCTTCAAAAAGGCAACTCAATCAAGATGCTGGCGCTTCAAGGGTTTGGGGCTTTGATCAGATCCCAAGTTCTAGGTTTCAGTTCTGTCGCTTGTTGAAGGATCTCCCTGCAGTTTACGGACCTCGATGCCCATGATGATAGCATCACTGGCAGGTCGCCTATTTTGTTTTATTTATTTATTTTGTTTTTGCGGGCGGGCCTTGAAAAAGTGTGAGGAATGTGATCTAACATGTTATACAGGCCGGCATTCTTGCTTTTCAACATGACTCACCTGAGCCAGGACAACCTAAACTGCTTAGGCTATGGAGCATCCGCCCACAGTTGACAATTTGGGATCCTGTCAGAGTAGACTCCCATTAGCCATTCGGCAAGTAAGCCGAGGCCCAATCACCTGGTCCCTCTTCCATGGATTCCTCGCAGGTGCCCTGTGAAGGGAGGTTGGATGGAACTTAAGCGTTGAGTAGGGTAATTGGTAATGGCGCCACGTTACCACACGTCGGCCGAGGCATCAGTCTGCCGAGCTGGCGCGAGCTGTTTGCGTCTTCGCTAGGGCTTTTACCCGAAAGTGCGAGAATGAGAGAAGGAAGGAGCTCTTGTCCTCCTGTCTTTGCGCTGACTCAAACTCAAAGCCGGAGATACGGAGGTACCATGACAGGGAAGTCTACCTTGTCACTCCTTGTCCACAATAGGGTTGGGGCATGAAGGTGTTTGTTTTCGGTACCTTGCAGGAGCTCGGATCCACTTCTGCCTGAATCGAACTGAGTTCGCAGGCCTTGGTCTTTTCCACCGCGCTGACGCCGGACCCGCGGGCGGAACGCTGCGTCCCAAGTCTAGTTGCCCCGATCCCTGGGGACTGCATCATGTCAAGACATCGCCGTGATGGCAAAATTTGAGTCTTGTTGCATGCGAGAATCAGTGCTGGCATGTTCCGAGGCACAAGGCTGTCACAAGACTGACCTTGAAGGCCGCATAAAACATAATGTGAAGTGCCATCTGTAGCCACTTGGGCATGGCTCGTCTCAAGGCCTCGGTGACCCGCGCGCCATGCAGCCTTGGGAGGATGCTGCTTCCATATTTGGGCGCTGAGCGTGAGGTCCTCAGCACCCAAAGCTGAGCTCTGTGGCAAATTCCTTCTACTCTGGTCCTTCTAGTGGACCGAAGATAGCATCGACAAGCGATGCAACCCCCAGAACACCGCTGAATCCACGGTATCGATGACATGCTCAATTGCTGGTGCGTATGAGTGGCTTTGGGAAGCCAGGGTTCGCGTCAGAATGTAGTCCAGATCGATCTTTTGATCTTGATACTTGCTCGCAGACCTCTACAGGTTGTATGGACAAAAGAAGTCAAGTGATAGTCAGCCAATCACCGAAGCCGGCTTCCCACTACGCACAGTGGTGATCTGCTCCAGTCTACCATTGAGGTTCGCAAGAGTGCTTGCCTCAATGTTGGGTCTGGCCGTTTCCCTGTCACCCAACTCCATAAGGCCAGTCATAATCTATCGAGGGTCGCGTCCATGGAGTACTGAGTCCAAGACTTCTGTAATTCGTTTTGTGCACGGCTCCAAGGGTGGCGGTCATGCGGATCACCAACACGATTTCCAGAGACTCGCAAGAGTGCTTGTCTCATGTTATTACTTGCAGTCGCTGCCATTCACGTGACTGCCCACGAGGCTTGGCGAGAGAGGCTTGCCTCCCTACCTCAATTAGCCGCTGAGTCTCGAGGCTGTTATCGCGAAACTTGGTTGGTGGAGTTCGTCGCAAACACCACGCAATCTTTGCATCAGCGGAACAACTTATCGAGATGCGGCGAGCATTGCTGCTTAGCTGCAGAGTCACAGTAGGTGTGTGCATGTCTTGAGGGCTCGCAAGAGTGCTTGCCCGTCTGATTCACGTCACCCTCTACCGTGATTTTGTGCGCGCGAGTTTCTGTACAGTCTCAATGACTTTGACAAGCCGGGCCCCAATATCGGATGTCCATTTCCGTCATGAAACGTCCTGCAACATGCCTGAATTCTGCACCTGGGTTTAGGGTTTAGGGTTCAGGGTCTTGGGTCTAGGGTTGAAGGTTTAGGGTTCCTGATTAGAATTCATGTCTCGCGCAATGATCGGCCTTGGCTCAGGCGAACGCCCGTGAGGGACAAGGCCACCCGCGATACCCGGTGAGTGTGAGTCATTGCGAGGAGGTATGCGAGGAGGTATGTATCAGCAACAGTAACCTAGGGGCCTTTCGAAAATTAGAACAGGTTTTTGGGGGTTATGGTATACACAAAGCGACCAGAAGTGGACCATCAGGGAATGCCATTAGGAATTATTCCGACCCGTACATTATGGACATTAAAGTGTGTAGAAGGTGAGCCTTCGAATCGGCAGATCAAGTAGCGACGAGATCTTGAGTCAGAACTTGGGCCACCATCAACCTGTCAAACGGATCGTTGACAGATCCCTGAACCTGAAACTCTACACCCAAAAATTAATCCCTACAGCCTTTACCCAATATTCCTACACCCTGCACCCTCGACGTGACGTTACACAGCCTGGAGACCTCGTCTGGCTTGGCCCCGGCACATCCAAAATCTGTAGTAGTAAGGTGGTGGGAAGGGTTATGAAGGGTTTCTACCTGTTTTCTTGGCTTTCTCAAGACTGACAAGGGTTTTACACGAGTCTGAGCATATACTCTAGGCATCAAAAAGCCCACATCATCAGTCTTTAGGAACAGCATAAACTTTGAAACCTTTATAGGGTGCTTTGCAAGAAGCCTAGAATAACAATGCAGGCTCGCTCGGAGCAGCTTGTGTTGCTTCCTGGCCTCACCACTTCAGGCTGCTGCGAGGCCGAGCTATCCCAACACCCTAAATCCCTATAAGCCCCCCCCCCAAATTAAGCCCAACTGGAAACCCTAACCGTCTCAAGTGACACCTGGTCGTTGCAGGGGATTCGCATCTCGCGCGCCGACCTGCCGAGACTTTCGTGGGTTCTGCGTGGGTTTTGCGTGGGTTTTGCATGGGTTCTTGCGTGGGTTTGGATACCCGGGTATGACCCTAAAATCCCGTAGGGTTTGTAACTTCTCCTGGCAAGTTGGCGTCACCCAAAAACCTGTGCTGGTAACGTAATCGTGGCTCCATAAGGGTTGTGAATATGCTCCTGCGAGATGTTTATCCCTTTGTGGGAAAAGCGTGTTTTTACCCAAGCGGAACAGGAACGCAAAGGAGAGGACTGTTTCTGCATATCGCACAAAAAAGGTGGTTGAAGTAAATTGAGATGTTTATCCCTTCGTGGGACTCTTTCTGCATACCCTTTTGTGACATTTTTGATGCCATAGGGCTCTTTCTCGTGGGACTGTTTCTGCATACCCTTTTGTGACATTTTTGACGCCATGGGGATCTTTCAACACGCTTTTCCCACAAAGGGATAAACATCTCAGTTTACTTAAACCACCTTCTTTTGACAGTAGATTTCTAAACCGAACCCTAAAGGACCGTGTAGCCCCAAAACCACACTCCTTGGCGCGAGCCCCACGAAGGGATAAACATCTCAGTTTGCTTAAACGACCCTCTTTTGCGCGAAGTAAACTGAGATGTTTAAGTGGGACTCATATTTTTGACACAAGGGACTCCAGCCCATGTTGCGCGCATAGAGGTAACTGATATGTAGGACAGAAAGAAGAACTGGAGACCACCAGTAGCCGTGCTGTGACCAAATAGCTTGCGTCAGGAATCTTGGCAACGAAATGAAGACGACATGAACAGAAAAGCCAAGCCTGACGCGAGCTATTTGGTCAGAGCAGCTTTGACCAAATAGCTCGCGCCAGGCATCTCAAAACATCTCAATGTACTTGTCTTTTCCGTTCATTTCGTCTTCATTTCGTCGCCAAGATTCCTGGCGCGAGCTATTTGGTCAGAGCTGCTGTGACCAAATAGCTTGCGTCAGGAATCTTGACAACGAAATGAAGACGAAATGAACAGAAAAGCCAAGCCTGACGCGAGCTATTTGGTCAGAGCAGCTTTGACCAAATAGCTCGCGCCAGGCATCTCAAAACATCTCAATGTGCTGGTATTTTCCGTTCATTTCGTCTTCATTTCGTTGCCAAGATTCCTGGCGCGAGCTATTTGGTCAGAGCTGCTGTGACCAAATAGCTTGCGTCAGGAGTCTTTGCAACGAAATGAAGACGAAATGAACAGAAAAGCCAAGCCTGACGCGAGCTATTTGGTCAGAGCAGCTTTGACCAAATAGCTCGCACCAGGCATCTCAAAACATCTCAATGTACTTGGCTTTTCCGTTCATTTCGTCTTCATTTCGTTGCCAAGATTCCTGGCGCGAGCTATTTCGTCAGAGCTGCTGTGACCAAATAGCTTGCATCAGGAATCTGGGCAACGAAATGAAGACGAAATGAACAGAAAAGCCAAGCCTGACGCGAGCTATTTGGTCAGAGCAGCTTTGACCAAATAGCCCGCGTCAGGCATCTCAAAACATTTCAATGTACTTGGCTTTGCCGTTCATTTCGTCTTCATTTCGTTGCCAAGATTCCTGGCGCGAGCTATTTGGTCAGAGCTGCTGTGACCAAATAGCTTGCGTCAGGTTTCTTGGCAACGAAATGACGACGAAATGAACAGAAAAGCCAAGCCTGACGCGAGCTATTTGGTCAGAGCAGCTTTGACCAAATACCTCGCGCTAGTTATCTCAAAACATCTCAATGTACTGGGCTTTTCCGTTCATTTCGTCTTCATTTCGTTGCCAAGACTCCTGGCGCGAGCTATTTGGTCAGAGCTGCTGTGACCAAATAGCTTGCGTCAGGAATCTTGGCAACGAAATGAAGACGAAATGAACAGAAAAGCCAAGCCTGACGCGAGCTATTTGGTCAGAGCAGCTTTGACCAAATAGCGCGCGCCAGATCTAAGGCAATGGGATTACAGAGCCTCCGCAGCCCACAACGCACAATCCTGCCGAGCCAGAGAACAAATCCGTCGCAGGCCGCGACACTTGCATTCACACACCCTGAACCTGGATATCCTGAGAGCAAATTACCCTTAAAACACACCTCTTTTCAGGAAATCGCCGTCGTCGTTCTTCGTTCTTGTCCTAGTCGAGGTCGTCTTGATCGTAGTAAGCAATTAGAAGCAGAATTTAAGGAATAGTGCCCTGATGCAAAAGTAATGAGCAAGCGTATGAAGCAAACCGAGGCTCGAAAGGTAGAGCCAGTGGAGTGAATGGGGACAGTCCAGCCAGTACTACACTCCAAAGCCCGAAACCCCAAACCGCAGCCATTGAACCTTATCTGGCTGGTCTGAGTGTGGGAGCGCAAGCTGCAGCATATTGTGATGGCTTCTCGCGGCTTCGGCTTCAGACACACGCCCTCTTCGCGAGCACATGCCCAACATCATCAGACCTGTATACTCACTCCTCGGCTAGGTGATGTCAAGTACTTGGCCATCATAGCGGCCCTTCGTCACAGACAGCGTTTGCCGCACAGGGCATTTTCAAGGACATTGCGCCCGCTGCACGTGCCTGCAGACACACCGTCGGGCAACCCCGTGGTGCCAGGGGCCCATGCTCGCATCAGTTAACCCGTGTTTTTTTTTTAATATGCGTTTCTGTCATGAAGCCGAGCGAGAAGAATCGTTTCGGCCGAAAGATTTTGCACGCGACCGTGTGCGGGGAAGCAAGCGGAAACTCCGCGGAAGCTCCGCGGAAGGTTGGCGGAAGCTCCGCCTGAAGACAAGTCATGCCGCAGATACCCCGTGCTTGGCCGTGAATGTATGCAACATGTGCCTGAAGAAAGAAACCCCATGATGATGATGATGATGATGTCAGCTGCGCTTAATTAAACCGTAAAACTCTAAACCCAAACCTCAAACTCGAAATCCACCACCAGGCTTGTTGGGTATCAAGTTCTTGTCATTTCCATTTGCGTTTTCGCGAGTAGTCGCAAACTTTACCACAGTCATGGGGAGAAGAGGACTAGCGCGTCAGCGTCAGCATGATCATGATGATTAGCAAAATCATCAACATTTTTCAGGATGATAGGGGGCGCGCGCGGAAGGTCCGCAGAAGGTGGACCCCTGGAAATTGATCCTACTGAAGTTGCCTTCATCGCGATGGTTTCATTCCTTTGTAAGCGGGATTCTGCAAGCCCAATGCCAGAAACATTGCACATACACAAGCACAATATCACATTTCCCAAAACAAGAAAAACTTTCGTAGTATTTACCTGCAGACGGACCAACAAATGCGCATGCACTATTGCAGCACATATGGCCCGAAACAGAAGTTTTGGTCAAATCCTTCAGCGCGTCGGCAGAACGAGATCCTTGCACCTTCGTGGAACAAATCCAGCCGTCCAGGGGGTTGTTATCTGACTTGGCAGTTGAATTGGAAACCGAAGCCGAAAGCCACCTAAGCCTCTTCAGAGGTGTTTACTTGTGTCTTCGCACGCTTTATGCAAGCTTGCGTCAACATGCCAAATGTTTTTCTTTGCTGATGTTTGAAGCTAGACGTGCAGTTTGCCCAAACAAACAGACTCCCCAAGACTCTGAGCCACACTTGCAGCAGCAAGCCCCGCAAACTCAACGAGACAACCACTGCGGAAGGGATCCACGGAATCCATAAAAAAGCTGACGCCCGCGGAAGCCTCCCCGCGCGGCCAGAGCACAACGACGACCAGCTGACAGGTTGAAAAACCTGAACCTCCCGAAGGATCTCCTGTTGAAGGGCCATTGACCCATCAGTGCTGCCCGCGGAAGTACATTCCCACAGAGTTGGGCTGTGCCGCGGGCCAGACGCTCATGGCACTCCTACAGCCCAGTTGCCCGAGCCCGCAGGAGGGGTTCGAGCAGTGACGATGCTTGCAACTCCCGCTGACCCACGGTACAAACAGTTTGACACTGGTGTACCTCGAGTCCTCGACGCGATCATGCCTTGTGCGTGCAAGAAGACAATGCCTTTGTCAAGGTGAGTCAGCCAAGCGCCTTAAAAACTCAACAAGATTTCGATCATATGTCCACCCAAGGTCCAGAAAGTCACACCCAGACATGTAGAAGCACTACCTGTGCGCGACACGGCGTGCCACGTGGTGTGAGGATTGTTGCACGACACGCCGAACCAAGCAGGGCGAAGATGAACACTGGCGCGTAAGACTGGCTTGTGCATGTCACCGACAAACTAAACAGTCATTTCCGAAGCCATTTCCCCCACACCGCCAAGTGCCTCATCTCACGATGATCATGTGGCTGGTCACGCTCGCCACAACAGTAGGAACTGCGCCAAGCGAAGATCCGGCGAAGGTCGTGCGAATTCCACGCGTCTTATCGATCCAGGAGCCTGCTTCGTCATTATCGGAACGCGCGTGCTGCTGGAATAATTTGAGACTCGCTGCGAATAATGAGGGAACTAGATGAAGAGGAGGTCGTGCGAATTTACGCACATCTCATCCGGGTTGTTGCTTCATGCTCGCGATGCTCATGTTGCTATTGTGATCTCACGCTCAACGCTCAAGTCAAAGGACGGTCTTAGGTGCGATTTTTGCCCGTCGCATCCAGGATGTTGCTTTATGCTTACGGCTAATGGCTTACAGGATTTTCAGGTTTCTGGGATGGATGTCACGCCGACTGCATGAAGGAAAGGGCAAGAGGAAGTCGTTTTATTTCCCGATATTTCCCGTGCTTCTCATCCAGCGTGTTGTTTGATGCTCACTATGCCGCGGTGATTTCAAACGCATTGCCAAAAGGAAGGTCTTGGATCATGAGGAGGTCGTGCGTTCGCTTGGGCTACTCACGCTGCTGGGCAGATCTCACGGTCAGCAGTGTCAAGCGCAGGTCGATATTCACCATGCTCATGTTGCTAGGGTGATGTGAGGCAGCTGCTGCAAAACGGGAAGGAACCAGATGAAGAGGGGTCATGAGCATTGCGCACGCTGCAGACTGTGTCTCACGCTCATTGCAACAACAAACGGCGGGGTCAATCTCGCGCATCTCGTCCAGGATGTTGCTTGTGTTGCTGACGACGCTCATTTTGGTCCCTAATTAATGAAGCTTCTCCACGATGTTACTTGACGCTCGCGATGCTGATGCTGCAGGGCGCGCTTATGCTCTCCGCAAAAAGGAACGACTTTCCACTGTAAATATCAGGGGCAAACCGATCAGGACGGCGTATGGGGGCGGATGGTACACAGCCTTCGGCAAAGGCCGTCGAACCCCCCTAGCCTTCGTCGAAACCCTTGGCCTTCGTCGAACCCCCCTCCCGGCCCTTGTGGCCTTCGTCGAACCTCCGGCGTTCATTTAGCCTTCGTCGAACGCTCGCGCTTTTTTTCGGGCTTTGTTTTGGCCTTTTGTATCGGCCTTCGTCGAACCCCCTCCCCCTTCGTCGAACCTCCCGGCCTTCGTCGAACCTTCGCCCGGCCCCCCGGCCTTCGTCGAACTTCGTCTCGGCCCGTTGGTATCCCGAGTCTTCGTCGAAGTTCCCTGGCCATCCTGCTCTTCGGCCATCCTGATGTGTTTTCCCCTTAAAATAGTGCAGGGATCTATCACCAAGATAGTCTCTCAGTTCCCGTGTTTCTTGTGGCCCTCTTTTTTCAGAGGCCGTTGCCGAGGTATGTACTTGCTGGTCGGTCAAATTTTGGCGGCTCCGGCTCGGAGTCCCCGCCCAAGTTTTGCCTAGGAGGACCAGGGGTATTCCATCTCAGAGGCAGGAGACTCCCTCCCATGCTGCGGCTCGCGTGGGATTTCTTTTCCCACAAAGGGATAAACATTTCATTTCAGTTTACTTAAACCACCTTCTTCTAGGGTATGCAGAAACAGTCCCACGAAGGGATAAGGATCTTAAAAATGTCTCGTCCTGCACACTTGTCAGTGCAGCCGGGGCTGTAAAAGCCGCGGCATACAGCTCAGGGCAAAATGTTTCCACGTGTTGAGTTCTTTAGAATGATGGTTTTTCTTGGATCCCTACTGTACTACGGCAACAAAAAATTTGAGGTACTCAAAACGGGACCATAATTCAAAGAACTGGCCATGCATAAATTTGTATCTTATTCGATGACTTTGAGAAGTCAATCGCAAATGCGTGATTGAAGTGAGCGTGGAAGCGATTTGAACGAAAGAGCCCCCGAAAAACAACTTTGGTTTTTGTGCCGCAAGGGCGTTTGCCCACAAATTTCGAAGAGCATCCCTTCAGTTCTTTTCAAGACTAAGCTTGGGCATTCAGAGGCGCAATGTTCTTGCGAATTCGGGGCCCAAGTTTCAGTGACATAAAGAAATGGTGCGGGGTTGGCCGTGGTCATCTCGTTCTGTCGCTCACACCCGTAGAAAGTGCGACTTGAATTGCTGGGCGAGAGATTGAAGTAAAACGGGAGTCATGCAAGTTAATTGACCTCATGCGTGCCCTACAACTCAGCAATAGGCTTAAGCCTTTCAATGAGGTCTGGCCCACCAGCAAGTGACAGGAACAAATCCATGTTAATCTTGGTGGGCTTCCTTGATACCAAGCTCACTGCACCGGTACTTCGGCTGTTCAGGCATACCAAACGTCAGGCCTCCAACTGCGCGGGCTCCAAGTTCTTGGTGAGACACGGACCAGGTGCGGGACAAGTTGCGGGGCTCAATTACAGGCGACGACCCCTAGCTCACAAGGGGAAATCAAAAACTTCGAGCCAAGAGCCACGGTGTTGTGTTGCTTTGTCCGGGCACGTTTTGCTCTGCCTTTGTGCATGGATTTCGTAGCTTGGTGTTAGGGCCGGGTGTGGGATAGTGTGGGCTTGACTTGGAGATTGAGGATTCCTCCCGCAATCCTTGTGGCAACTGATTCAGTTCGCTACTGCCGATGGATGGCCTTTATCACGCAGCAGAAAGCCGACATTGCTATGATCGTGGTTCCAGAGTTGTTCTAGGCTATCCTGGTGTGGGGATTTGTGATTCGGGAAGGGATGGGAGGGGTGGGGGGATTGTGACTCGTGAACGAGCTTGCGCTGGCTACTGATATTCGGTGTGGCTATACCATTCAGAGCTTGCGTGTGGCTTGAGGGCCAATTCTGCATCAGCACCTCTGTCCTACCAAGGAAGCAAATCGAGGCTGCCAAGCGCCAGTCGGATCTTGCCGTCTCAGGTTCGCCATGCCTGCCGTGAGTTTGAGCTGGCGTTGATATTCTTCCATACTGTCCATAGTGTTGCTCCCAGGTGTACACGGGGACACCTACGAGCAGGATTTGATCCTGCAGACAGCCGAAGAAAACCTTGAGAAATTGGGAGGGGGGGGGGGGGGGGGGGGGGGCGCGAACCAAGCTGATAAGGGCGAGTGCTAAGTTTGATCAGATGGGCTCCAGAAAGCCGAGGTTTCGATGGTTTCCGCTAGAATTCTGTTGGGCCCGTTGGAGGCCTCCCTGGCATTTGCGAGTTTTCATGAAACATTCCGGCTCGGATTCACCGAGCGGTACGCTTTACGGCGACAGAACCGGCTTGATGTCACATTTTTGCGTTGCCGGAAGCCGTAGATCCCCAACCCTAAAGCGGCTTTCCGCCAGCGCGATCAGGTGCTTCAAGCACCTTCACACCCGTCAAAACCTGAGTCCTGCGAGACGCTAAGCCACAGTAGTTGCGATCCGCATCATACCAATCCTGGAATCCTTTTTCTCATGCCACGAATCGCTGACTCGCATATCGCATGCGCTGCGTAGTCTTCGCGACGCGATGCGATGGCTTGCCGGCCATCCACGTCACGTCTGTGGTTTTGGGGGGTTCTCGGCTCAGGCAGCACGGACACACCCCACGCCCAGACACGTGCCTTAGGCAGAGTCCGTGTGAGCGCATCCGTGCCGCCGCTGCGACGCGCCATGGCATCACAAGACGTTGACGATGTTGACGATGTTGTCTTTGACGTGCCGGAGAAAGAGAGTAAAGAGAGCGGGGATCTTCCGGCCAAGGGCGGACCTCTGGAATTTGAGCCTCAGGTTCTGGCAACGATTGTGGACGTCGTTTCCGGCATGCAGCTCGAGAAGCCAGAGCTGCTTCGTGCCGTCCCTGCGTGGGTGGTGCTGAGAAATTTCGGCCAGGTGCTGCGAGAAACTTCCCTCGACCCAGGAAAGCTGCATGCGCTTTTCTCGCTGAGTGCCAAGGTGCCCTTCATCAAGGAGTTCTGGTCCCACAGCTGGCACGGGAAGCGGTCCATGAAGATCTGGCTGCTGCTGATGCTCAAGAATGGCTTCCCTGCAGTTTGTGTGGGCACGTTTGCCGCCTTTCTTGCGGCCGTCCTGTCGTATCTGGAGATCCTCCCGGGCTGGTACAAGGAGCCCCGAATCCAAGGACCAGGATACTCCGGAGAATTCAGGTACAACTGCTGGGCGCTCCTCAGCGGTGTCCTCGCCTCCTTGCTGACCCTGCTTCTTTGGCGATCTGGAGACAGCGTCTTTCTGGACCGAATTTGTATCCATCAGGGGAACAATGCCTTGAAGGCCCAGGCCATTTTGCATCTGGGCGCCTTCATGAAAAGCTCCAAGCGCCTGGTGGTGGTCTGGGATAAGACGTACCTCTCCAGGCCCGGCTTTGTGAAAACTGCTCTCATATGGCAACTTAGGAGAAGTCTTGCACATGCCTTATAATGCGTCGCACCCAGAAAAGGCGATGTCTCCCAACCATGTACCGAATCCGCCGCGCTGAGGCGTAGAAAAGATCTGTTTGCAACCTACAGGTACCTGTAGGACGCTACTCCTTCAAGCAAGGGTTGTACCGATTTAATGACCGTAACTTTCCCAAGGGATACCAACGGTTCGCGAAAGATCCGCCAAAGGCAACATGTTTTGCGAAATCTTACGAACATTCAGTGCTGTCATTTTACGAACATTCTGTGTTGTCGTCTCTTTCGGTCGTTCTAAGAACGGCCTGGGCGTTGAACACTCTTTGGGCTGGGCGGCTTTAAGTCAGAAGATGGCTGCCAGAACCTTGGAGGACCAAAGGTCTGTTATTATTCTTTCCTGGGTCTTCAAGGTCGCTTTGAGAGTCTTTCGAGAATGGTGGCGTGTTGCAACGGCGGCAAGCCCAAGTAGCACCCGCCAGGAAAAGCTTGCACAGCGCATGTTGCTGGAGCACACACACACACACCCACACACACACACACACCCACACACCAAACACGCGTGCATGCACGCACGCACGCACACATGCACGCACACACGCACGCACGCACGCACGCACGCACGCACACAGAAAATCACCTTCTCCTGAAGGGATAAGGCCTCAGCAAGCGCTGCGTCCGCATCTTCTGCACAATGTGCAGCATCAACAGCGTCTGCACTAGGTGCGGCATCGGCATCTTCTGCACTGGGTGCAGCACCAACGTCTTCTGCACTAAGTGCAGGGCATCAACATCTTCTGCAATAATTGCAGCATCAACATTGCTCTAGAAGATGTTACATTGAACTGACTTTTGAGCAGGTACACAAGGGTGATCAGCCCTTGCTTCCCATCAGATTCCGCAGCTTTGTTAGGCACGGTCCGGAATCTGACGCCGTGCCCCCCTGCAAGTGAAACAAATCTTCGGAGCTGCAGCGACAAGAGGCATCCTATATCTCAAGGTGGCCACCCACACACACACCCGCGCGCGCACACACCCGCGCGCACACACACGCACACGCACGCACGCACGCACGCACGCGCACACGCGCACACGCGCACACGCGCACACGCGCACACGCGCACACGCGCACACGCGCACACGCACACGCACACACGCACACGCGCACACACGCACACGCACACGCGCACACACGCACACGCGCACACACGCAGACACACAGACACACAGACACACAGACACACACACACACACAGACACACACACACACACACACACACACACACACACACGACCTTCCAGGCTATGGTGTGTTTTCGAGCTCGCGGCATTTCTCCACAGCCACAAAGATGACCCGCGGGCGAAGCTTGTGATCAAACCTATTGCGGTTGCGCCGCTAATGTTCATCATCGTGGCAGGAGGGGTGCTGAGTTTCGCTTTCGAGCTCGTCCTGCCTTCAAGTGGCCTTGTTGTCATGGTTCAGGTAGTGTACATGCTTGCATTGAATCTTTTGCTCACCTATGTGCTGGAGCATTTCTGGCGCGATGTCTTCACAGCCGAACAGCAGTTTCGCGCATTCAGGTGGCAAGAGGTCACGTGCGCCTGCTGTTCGACGAATCACCTCACCCCAGATGGACAGCGGATTGCGTGCGACCGGGTCATTTTGGAGGAGTGCATCGTTGAGTGGTTCGGCTCTATAGAGGCCTTGGAGACACAGGTAAGGACCAGCATTTGCGACACCTTCCTCAAGCAGGTCACTCGAGGCTTCCCTTTTGGGTACTTGTGGCTTTTGGGGGGATGCTCCTGCATTTTGTGGGGCCAGGCTGACCATGCTGCCGCAAGGGCCCACGGTGGGGCACACAGGCATGCCCTCTCCATCTTGATTGCCACAGTTGCATGGTTTCTGTGGGCGTCGCCCAATGCGCACCTCATCTTTGGCAGAATCGCACGATGGATGCAGAAGAAGCAGAAGAAGAAGCTCAGTGCTCCAGCATATTGCGCCGTCAAGCTTGCGGGGTACCTTGCCTCCACTGTGAATACCGCCGCGCCTTTGCTTTGGCAATGGTGGCTCTACGGTGCCGTGCTCGACCCCGTTCTTGCAGCCTCGGCATTTGCAGGGACAACTTTGCTTTTTGCCATCCTCGCATATGGACTGCTTGCCAAGCCCGATGTTCCTAATCCGTCCTCAGAACTCGGCCGATAGCATGCGGATCATGCGGAGCAGTTGATGGTAGGTTCAAGTGCTGCTACAGTGAAGTGCAAGATCCGCCACCCGCCCCAGTTCGGGAGCGACTTTACCCATAAGGGGCGGCACGCGGCCGAGGCACCCCTAAGGGGTCCAATACTTTCAACAGAGATCCTCGAGCCCTCTCGAGGTACAGTTTTGGGGGATCACTCTTTATATTTTTGCTGTTTCTCCAGCAGCCGACGTGCTTGCTACAGCGCCTATTTGTAAGAAAACAAAATGCAGGCTGGGCATTCAGAGTTGCTAGCTTAAGTGTGGCAATGTCACAGTTGCACGTGCGACTCCCCCATCACGGCCCACTGACCTCAGACCGCCGCTCAATTTGACCTGAGCGAGAGAAGCGACCTCCCCCTCCCCCCTCCCCCCGCTCCTTAATAAAAAACCTTATATGAATAATGCTTTATGCAGGGCGCCACGCCGGCATATGGAAGCCGGGGGCCAAGAAAAATCTCGTTTGGCGCCGTCGGCCGCGGCCTGGCGTGTTATGAGGCCTGGACACCCCTCAGCCTCCCTTTCAGGCACCGAAGCTTTCAGGCACCAAAGTTTGTAAGAGAGCCCACGACACGCGCGCACGCGCGCACGGGCGCGCACACACACACACACAAAATGGAAAGTGTAAAACACGCTTGGGTGCAGATGTCAGTGCGTTCGCCCTTGCTGCGACTTCAAGCCCGCTGCTTTAGCCTTAGTTAAACCCTAAACCCTAAACCCTAAACCCTAAACCCTCCAATGAAGTCGGGAAGGACATCGCTTCCGGCCAGTGAGCAAGTGCGAGAAGTGCGTGGCAAGCGGCTCACAAGCAGCAGCTCGCAGCCGTTTTTTACTTGACGCAGCTTTTCTTTGTTTAGGGTTTAGGGTTTCGGGTTTCGGGTTTAGGGTTTAGGGTTTAGGGTTTAGGGTTTAGGGTTTAGGGTTTAGGGTTTAGGGTTTAGGGTTTAGGGTTTAGGGTTTAGGGTTTTTGCACAGGAGGTCGGGCTCAGTCCCTTAAGTTGCCACGGAGAGTGTCAGTGACCGCTCTTCGCTGTCAAAGTGCGGGGCGGGCGGGGTTCTTTGCAGGCTTCTCGAAAATTAGATAATCTAGACCCCCCAAAAAGTAGGATCCCCTCATAGCAAGGACCCCAATAAGGTACCCCTAATATCGTACACCCCCAAATGTCTTCTTTCAAGCTCATAGGCAGAGGCAGAGAGCAGCTGGCCGCAAGTGACTTCGAACCTCTTTGAGTGGGCACTGGGCACACACACATACACACCTTAGCACTCTCTGACCCCCGCCCCCCGCCCCCCCTACCCGCCGGCCTTCTGGCCCTGGCTGCCCTGAATTTTGCATCTTTCTAGCACTTGAAGCCACGGCAGTCTGTAGGATGAATCAACGTTGCACCTCTGCCTGCTCCGCCCACCGGCCACATTTTGTGCCCAAGCTGTTCTTGGCATTGGCAGCAGGCGCAAGGATACACAACACGGTTCCCTGAAGAAGCTTGAGGGGGCGGGGGGGGGCCTAGGCCACATCACCTGGAACTTTCCCAAGTCAGCAAGACTGCCTCAACTCCTGCTGAGCCCTTATTTCCTGACTGACTTGCCACACCCCACACCCCTCCCAAACCACAGCCAGAAACCCCAAAAACTCCCCACGCCTAAATTATAACAAAAGGCAACCGAAAAAACGGCACCCACCCTGAAGTCTCCAAAACCTTGAGAGGACGGGGGGGCAAGCTTTCCCCCGTCAAGCTACCCTGTGCTGTGGTTCTTATATAAGGAGATTAGCAGAAAGAGCAGAAACCATAAACATAAAAACACAAAACGACGCAAGATCTGCGGGCGCCCCCTTTGCGTCGTCGACGCGGCGATGAGCTCTGAGGAGCCGAAGCAGCGGCGCCTCTCGTTCATCGACTGCGCCTGGGCACTGACTTTGAGGGATCTATAGGGGATTTATATAGGGGATTCATATATTACAGGGGATTTGTGGGGGATTTATAGTGGATTTATAGGGCTTTTTGTATAGGGCTTTTTGGGGATTTACGGGGTTTTGCAGGGTTGAAAGGGTTTTAAGGGTTTATCGTGTTTTTTGAGCGTAATGTGCGGTTTGTCGGGTTTACAGGGTCCATAGGGGTTACAGGGTTTGTAGGGTTTAGGGGGGACTGCTGAGTTCTCGGAGTGCGGGGAAGCTTTCTTTGTCTTTTATGGGACCCCCTGGCGTTGTTTGGGGCTATGCCTTGACGACTCGGAGGCTCTGTGAACCAGATCGAGTCTGCCATCCAAACGGAGTGGGCAGTGCCTTGGGCTGCGAGGGTTTAGGGTTTAGGGTTTAGGGTTTAGGGTTTAGGGTTTAGGGTTTAGGGTTTAGGGTTTTTCGGTTTTAGGGTTTAGGGGACCTGGGCTGCTGCCCCAAACTCAAAGGCAGCTTGACGCCGTTTCACTCTCTCAAATGGCACCCCCCCCCCCACCCGCAAGGTGTAGAATCATTTCTAGCCACGAATTCAAGTTTGCCCCCAAGCCAGAGGCTGCTCTGCTTTCGTATTCAGCACTCTTTTGCTTCAAGCAGCTTGAGGACTGGCGATTCAATGGACGCTTGGCTTGCACTGCGCTACCACAAAAGGATTGCAAAAAGCTGAGGTCCGTTGTGGAGACAAGCATCTTGTTTTTTTGCGGTCGCGGACTATTCTTGCTCGAGGGGGGATTGGCCTCAGGATGCCACACTGCCACACAATGCCAGGCACAATGCCAGACAATGGAAGCACGGAGTGTGCCACAACATGAAAAGACAAGAAAAAGGGGGGTTGTGGGAAGCATGGGGAAGCCCCTAAACCCTAAACCCCAAACCCTAAACCCTAAACCCGAAACCCTAAACCACATCTGTCGTAGAGTCGCAATAAGGTGATTATTGGTCGACCATCCTGACCGGAGAGCCCGCCCTGGAATTCCGCGTGCTGAACAATCGGCCCTCTGGTTGCTTTCTTGCGGGGGGGGGGGGGGGGGGGGGGGGGGGTTTAGGGTTAGGGTTTTGTTTAGGGTTAGGGTTTAGGGTTTAGGGTTTAGGGTTTAGGGTTTAGGGTTTAGGGTTTAGGGTTTAGGGTTTAGGGTTTAGGGTTTAGGGTTTAGGGTTTAGGGTTTAGGGTTTTGGGGGGCCGGGGGGGGGGCCTATAGACCCCAAACCTAAATCATGATAAAACCCTAACTCCAGAAGCCGTGTTTGCAGCAAGTTGCAGTAGGTCGGGGGCACATGAGTTCTGCTCTTGCAGTGCTCCCAGCCTCTGCTAATAACCAGTGTCCTCCACACGCATCAGTCCCAGCACGTCCAGACGAGGACACTGGAGTTCTGGGTCAGGACTTACAACAGGCGCGTCGTGATTGCGAACAGTTCAGAGTTTCCTCAAGTATCCTCGAATTTTTGGGCTCCCTTAGATCAGAGTTTTTGGACTTCCCCTCCAACCGAGCCCCATTCAAGAGAACGAATCGCATGTTACTATCTACAAGCCCTGATTTTACTTCGTACGGCCCAATAAGCCCTGTAAAGCTCTCTGAACCCTGTCACCCCCAACAATGCTCGAGAAGCCACCAAACCTCCGGGTTATCTCCCAAAAGTCGGGGTACCCTGAAGAAACACCATAAACCCAGGAAAATACGGTTGTCCTCATTATAGGAACCCCCAATCCAGGGCACCCTTGTTTTCGGAAATCCCCACATGAAAATATAAAAACTCTAGGATTCCTCGACGCGAGGTGGCAGGAACTGGGCCGAAGAGCAAAGTCCAAGCCGCCGAACAAGGTCCCGAGGGGCGAGGAAGCCAGCGGCTCACTAAATCCCCCTTGGGATTTATTTCATTTTTTGTTTATATAAAACCCAAGAGAATATTAAACATATTATCTTTATTAAGGTTCTAAGGGGAGTATAGCTCACACTTTCGGGGGAGGGGGGGGGGGGGGGGGGAGGGCTTTGGTTCAAGGGCGTTCAGAGAGGCTGACAAGGGGGTCGAGGGTTTACGAGCCCCCCGGGTTTGCGGCTTCAGGGTGCAGCTTCTTTGAGCAGCCCTCACATCTACTCGAAAGTTCTGGGCCCTAAAGCCGCGCATTCATACCCTTCCCCCTAGAAAGAAAAACGAAAAAACAAAAAAACAACAGCCATCACTCAAAGAACTATATAACCACATCGACACACTGAAACTCACCAGCCCTGCTGGGTTTTCTCCCCTCTCTCAGTTGGGGGCTCCGCGGCGGAGCTCGCATGGAGGTATTCCTGGTTCCTGATTCCCGAAATGCTTTCATGGGAGCCTCTAAAAGCCTTGGGCTGAAGTTCTGTACAAGAGCAAAGTCCTCTGTTAAACGCCTTTTGAACGTGTTAAACCCTTATCTACATGCACATAGAAATGTACATATACGGTCTCGTGCACATATACATGTACGTGTACACATGCATACATGTGTATATGAAATTAATATAAGTGCACATATGTATCACTTACTGTAAACCTGTCTCTCTGTTATCAGATTTTTTAATCCCATCAACAGACCTCAAAGCGTGCGCTTCAAAACCTTCAAACCTTGGGCTGGACTGCAACAATCCCCCGAACCTTCAGTTTGTGTAGGGCATGAATTGGAATCGGAGTTTTGGGAAGTTTTGCCAATACTTTTCAGGCTCCTGTATCAATGTTGGTGAGACTCGGCAGATAGAACCCGAAGCAAGAAGCATTCTCATTCTTTTGTGCATGTGTGCTAACATCCGCGACAACGCCTGGAAAAAAGGGCTTTTGACATTGGACGTGTGCAGGTGGACATTCTGGAGTTGGAGCAGACGCGTGGCAGGGAACCGAAACCCTAAACGGCCCTAAACCCAAGCAGCCCCCAAGATGTTGTCATTTTTGCATTTGTGGGCATGCAGGTTTGCAGTTTACAGTGTGCACAAATGGGGGACGGCAAAGAAGCGACATGCAAATGGAAGTGAGTGGGGTTGCCGCTTATAGCTCCTGTTTGACTCTTGGCCCGTCTTACTTGTCGGGCGACAACAGGGCTTCAGAGCCACGTCGGGGGAGCAGCAGGGTTCTCAATGAAAGCGGCTCGTTCCGAGCTTGGCAAAATGTCGCGCCAAGGATATGCTGGGGTTCAGGAGGTTTGGGGTTTGGGGGTTAGGGTTTAGGTTTAGGCCCTTCAGGGCAGTTTGTGATGATAGGGGCTTGTATAGGGCCTGCTAGGGCCAGCCGTACTGCGTTCGCGCCCCGCATGTTCGAAAGATCTCTGTGCTTTCGACTGCGCAGAGGGGAGTTCTCAAATGGGCGCCTGGTGGTATGCAGCCAAATGTAATGCTGTGGTGTGGCTTCCGGATCTCTCAGCAGACGGCTGCATCATTCTGAGCCTTTGGATCTCTCTCTCTCTTGCTCTCTTGCGCTCTTTCTCTCTTTCTCTCTTGCTCTCTTGCTCTCTTTCTCTCTTGCTCTCTTGCTCTCTTTCCTAAATCCCCATTTCCCAAGCCAAGACCAAGCCAAGGATTCTCAACATGCCACGGCATCGGCTAAAGGACATCTGCCTCTTGGCCGGGTTTTTGGGTTCTTGGGGTTTTGGGGTTAAGGGTTGAGGGAGGTCTTCAGGTTTTGACCGGGTGGGTGGGGGGTGGAAGGTTCATAGGAGGCCTTTGGGGGCTTTTTTGGCGCTTGAGGGGTTTTGCATGGCTCTGTTGTTTTTGTCGGTCTGCCCCCGCCGCTTACTACCCTTTCTTGCTTACATTGGCCCAAGTTGTGGCAGCACCGGTTGGGGTGTGCCTGAGCACCTTGCTGTGGAGAACTAGGCTGGTTGCAGATGCATAATGGGCCCGCTCCCATGACCTCTTCCTAGAAATGGCCCAAGCATGCTTAGGAGGGTTTTCGGAGGGGTTTAGGGCTTAGGGTTTAGGGTTTAGGGTTAGGGTTTAGGGTTTAGGGTTTAGGGTTTAGGGTTTAGGGTTTAGGGTTTAGGGTTTAGGGTTTAGGGTTTAGGGTTTAGGGTTTAGGGTTTAGGGCTTTACGTTGGGCATCTGACTTGTAGCTGAGCCATGGGGACGAGCAGCAAGTTTAACGCGATGAGCGCGCTGATCCGGCTTGGCGACCTTCCCGGAATGCAGGCCTAGCTTGTGGATCTCCTGCATGGGTTTAGGGTTTAGGGTTTAGGGTTTAGGGTTTAGGGTTTAGGGTTTAGGGTTTAGGGTTTAGGGTTTAGGGTTATTCATAGTGAGTTAAGTTAATAGCAGGCCTACGCAGCCGTGGACTTCGACTGGACACAGGTGGCTATATCCCCCTTGGGAACTATTTCTTGTTTTGTTCATATACAACCCAACAGAATATAAAAAATCATATTTTTTATTAAGGTTCTAAAAGGGGAGTACAGGTGGGTGGGGACGAAAACATAACCCTCCTGCACTTTGCCATCGACTGCGGCAAGAAGTCCAGCACAAGGGCCAACAATCTCCCTGTCATCGAGTGGATGCTAAAGGCAGGCGCTGATCCAGAGCAAGAGCTTCCATCCGATCACCCTGGCTGTTCCCATCTCTGCAACTAAGGGAATTCTTGGAAATCTTGTTTTCTTTTTTTATTTTTGGGTACTATGTAATAACTCCTAAGAAACAGCTGAAATGATGAATTTTGCTAGGGTTTCAAGTTCAGTAGAGGCAAGAGATGGGACAAGAAGGGGACGATGATCAAGGTCCGATACGCGTGCCAATCGCCCATCTCCTTGGCCGCCGCCTGGGTGGAGGCGCTCCGCAAGGTGGACTGGGGTGCTGCAACTTGGGAGCCCAGTGGTACCCTTTCCCCTTTTTTAGGGTTCTGGTTTCCTTTATATGAAAAATAGCCAACACCCTTAAGAGGGTGCCCATAGTATAAGACGGTGACCGGGCTACCAAGAGGCAACGATGAAGCACTTCTCACTGGTTCTCTCAGTCATTGCAACGGCGGCCTCTGCCAAGCGGCACAAGGTTGCAGTGCATCAGGCTGTGATGGACCGCTGGGAGTCGGCCCGGGAGATGACCTCCACGCACAACGTCACGTTCGAGACGGCCGATGGCGCCATCACGGCCCATGACCACATCCTCATGGCAGCCTCACCGGTGCTTCAGGCCATGTTGCAGTCGACCATGAAAGAAGGTCAGCAGAAGCAGATCTCAGTCGCCGACTCCTCCGGTACAGGGGTGTCACTGTTGCTGGACATGCTTTACACCAGCTCCACGCGCACCGACCCCGACTTTAAAACCATGCTCGTT